CAGGGCCAGATGGATTTACATGCGAATTCTATCAAACATTTAAAGAACAATTAATTCCAATACTATATAGACTATTTGGGAAAATAGGTGAAGAAGGAGTCTTACCAAATTCTTTTTATGATACAAATATGGTGTTGATACCTAAACCAGGAAGAGTCAAAATAGAGAAAGAAAATTATAGACCAATTTCTCTAATGAATATAGATGCAAAAATTTTAAACAAAATACTAGCAAAGATTGCAGCAACTTATCACAAGAATAATACACTATGACCAGGTAGGATTTATACCAGGAATGCAGGGTTGGTTCAATATTAGGAAAACTATCAGCATCATTGAGCATATCAACAACAAAACCAACAGAAACCACATGATCATCTCAATAGATGCAGAAAAAGCTTCTGATAAAATACAACACCCACCCATTCCTATTAAAAACACTATAAAGCATAGGTATAAATGGAGCCTTCCTTAAAATAATAAATGGCATTATATCTAAAACCTTCAGCAAGCATTGTATGTAATGGGGACAGGCTAGAAGCATTTCCAATAAGATCGGGGTGAAACAAGGATGTCCATTATCACCACTGTTATTCAATATTGTACTGGAAATTAGCTTTAGCAATAAGAGAAGAAAAAAAATTGAAGGCATTAGAATAGGCAAAGAAGAAACAAAGCTATCACTCTTTGCAGATGACATGATAATATACTTAGAGAATCCTAGAGAATCAAGTAAAAAACTACTTGAAATAATAAACAACTTTAGCAAAGTTGCAGGCTATGAAATAAACCCACATAAATCATCAGCATTTCTATATATTACCAACAAAGCCCAACAGCATAGAAAGAGAAATCCCATTTAAACTTACTGTAGACATTATAAAATATTTAGGAGTCTACCTCCTGAAACAAACCCAGGAACTCTATGAACACAATTACAAAACACTTTTCACACAAATAAAATCAGATCTAAATAATTGGAAAAACATCAGTTGCTCATGGGTAGGCCAGCTAATATAATAAAAATGACAATCCTACCTAAGCTAATTTACTTATTCAGTGCCATACCAATCAAACTACCAAAAATTATTTTATAGAGTTAGAAAAAATAATAACAAGATTCATTTGGAAAAAAAAGGTCCAGAATATCAAAGGAACTAATGAAAAGAAATGCAGGGGAAGGTGGCCTAGCAATTCCAGATCTTAAATTGTATTATAAAGCAGCAATCATCAAAACTGCTTGGTACTGGCTAAGAAATAGGGAGGTGGATCAGTGGAATAGGTTAAATATGCAAGACACAGTAGTCAATGACTATAGTAATCTATTATTTGATAAACCCAAAGACCCCAGCTTCTGGGATAAGAACCCACTCTTTGAAAAAAACTGCTGGGAAAACTGGAAAAGAGTATGGCAGAAACTAGGCATAGACCCAAATCTCACACCATATACCAAAATAAAGTCAAAATGGGTTCATGACTTAGATATAAAGGCTGATACCATAAGTAAACTGGAGAACAAGGAATAGTTTACCTATCAGATCTATGGAGAACAGAAGAATTCATGACCAAACAGGAGATAGAGAACATTATGAAAAGCAAAATGGATAATTTTGATTACATTAAATTGAAAAGTTTTTGCACAAACAAAGCCAATGCAACTAAGATTAGAAGGAAGGTAGAAAATTGGGAAAGTATTTTTACAACTACTCTCTCTGATAAAGGCCTCATTTCTAAAATATAGAGAATTAAGACAAATTTATAAGAACACAAGCCATTCCCCAATTGATAAATGGTCAAAGGATATGAACAGACAGTTCTCAGATGAAGAAATTAAAGCCATCTATAGTCATATGAAAAAATGCTCTAAATCATTATTGATTAGAGAAATGCAAATCAAAACAACTCTGAGGTACCACATCACACCTATCAGATTGGCCAACATGACAAAACAGGAAAATGATAAATGTTGGAGAAGATGTGGGAAAATTGGAACACTAATACATTGTTGGTGAAGTTGTGAAATGATCCAACCATTTTGGAGAACAATTTGGAACTATGCCCAAAGGGCTACAAAAATGTTATACCCTTTGATCCAGCAATAGCACTTCTAGGGCTATATCCCAAAGAGATCAAACAAATGGGAAAAGGACCCACATGTACAAAAATATTCATAGCAGCTCTTTTTGTGGTGGCAAAGAATTGGAAATTGAGAGGATTCCCATCCATTGGGGAATGGCTGAGCAAGTTGTGGTATATGAATGAAATGGAATACTATTGTGCTATAAGAAATGATGAACAGGCTGACTTCAGAAAAACCTGGAAAGACTTATATGGTCTGATGCTGAGTGAAGTGAGCAGAACCAAGAGGACTTTGTATACAAGAGGCCTTAGGATGGAAAATGCTGTCCACATCCAAAGAAAGAACTATGGTAGTTGAATCGCTGTCACTTATTTTACCTTCTGTTGAGTTTTGTTTCATCTTTCTGATGGTTCCTCCTATTGTTTTTAATTTTTACTCACAACTTCACTAATGTGAAAATATGTTTAATAGGAATGTACATGTAAAGCCTATATCAGATTGTGTGCCATCCTGGGAAGGTTGGGAGGAAGGGGGAGAAAAATATTCAACTCAAAAGCATATGGAAGTGATTGTTGATAAATCAAAATAAATTAATAAAATTTTTAAAAAATTTAAAAATTAAAAAAAAAGAAGCTAAAGTTTCCTACCAAGGCTTCCCCACCCCCAATGGCAAGCCTTCTTCAGAGCTCTTGAACTATGTCCTCAAAGGGGCAATGAGGAGGTTTAAGTCTGAAGGAGGAATGGTTACCCAGACCGATTTCTCCCATTGCATGCCTATTTTGGCCTATTTCCTCTCTCTGCCTTTAATGCTTGTGTATAATTACATGTTGTCATAATTGAAGCCAGTGTGTCTTCCTTTTATGTGGCCCAAAGAATCCTGTCTTTATTCATGGGACTCAGAAGTTTGGCTCTAATAAGCCTTATGGTCTTGCAGACCAGACCCCTCACAAAGAGCCTTCTGTGTACTTTTTTTTTTTTGGTTTGCAGACAAGATTATTGGTTCTTTTTAGCTCCAGAAAATTCATGTCAAATATTTCTCTAAGTTTGTTCTTGAGACAGCTTTTCTTGTCCTTTTTCTTCTGGAATATCTATTAGTCCTAATTTAGATAGTCTGATTTCTCCTTGAAGGCAATCAGATGGCTTAGCTGCTTTCTACTGAGTCCTGTTAAATCTTGGGGCCAAATGATGGATTGCATGGCCTCCCCATGAAAAACCATTTCAATCCTTTCCAATCCACCTTCTGCACAGCTGTGGAAACAAGTCACCAGGTCACCACCACCACCACCCCCAAGACCCCACCCCCCACTCAAGAAATTCTAGTGGCTCCCTACTGGACTGAAGATGAAATACAAAACTCCTCTGTTCAACATTTAAAGCCCTTTACACCCTTTACACTTCCTTTCCAGGATGATTACACCTTTCTTCCCTTCATGGGAAGAAATCTAGCTAGATTCTTTTGCTTGGTGGCCCTCATATACAACATCATTCCATCTCTGTGCCTTTGCTATCACCCATGCCTCCTGTATTCTCTCTCTCTCTCTCTCTCTCTCTCTCTCTCTCTCTCTCTCTCTCTCTCTCCTCTCTGCATTGGCCCTTTGGAATCCCTAGTTCCCATCAAGACTCAGCTCATATACTGCCTCCTTCAACAAGCTTTGATTCACTCAGTTCATCATGCCCTTCACCAAATCACTGTGCATTTATTTTGAATATATCAGTGAATATATTATATTGTCCCCCCAAGTGAAATGCAAACTCCTTAAAGACAGAGATTGTACAATTCTTGCATTCATATTGCATCCAATGCTTGCGACAGGGCCTGACACATCACAGGTGTTTAATAAGTTCTTGTTAACTGACTGACTGACTGCCAAAACTAAATGTAGGGAGCTTCATCACCACAAAGCTGGCTACACTGTGATGAATTTTGTTGTCCCTAGTATCTCATGAAGACCATCACCTGTGACATATAAATGTGTGTATGGGGGAAGGTGCTGTGTCTGCAGAGGGGCACTACACTGATGCCTAAAGTCACAGTGTTCTGAAGTCTTGAGTAATCATAAAACCATACTTTTGGAAGCTAATATGGAGCCCCAATCTTAAGGAAATTTTAAAAATATATATTGTAGGAAAAGTGAAGATAAAATTTAATTCCAGTGCTATAAAACACCAACAAAAATGAAAAGGCAAGGAGGAAAAGGAGCCAAACCAAACCTTTTTACCTAAGACCCAGCATTACATTCAAAAGTCCTCCAGTACCTTCTGAACACAGAAAAATGCATATACACAAAGGCCTCTCCTCTAAAGCAGCTATAAAGCGATCTAGTTCTATTTTTCTCATCTCACAGGAGTCAAGTTTGACATTTTAGAGAAATACATTTATTTGGTTATTTTTTTCCAATGAAAAGCAATAGAAATGCATCCTCATTTCATGTCCTGGAGCCAAATCACAGAGTTTCAGGATCTGTGGTGACACAGAGAAAGGGGTTCAATACTTTCCCTTCCTTAACATGAGCAACTCCACTGTAGACTGAGCTTCCACTTGAATGTCACTGGACAATCACATCAAAATCTTAGGGTTTTGTTTTCCTTTTCTTTCCATGCCCTGTGCAAGGCCAGCCAGAAGACAAAGTCTACCCTGTCTCAGAATCTGAGGCCAATGTCATACCAGCAAATTAAGATGTCTCCATCCCTTTTCCTACAATGGCCCCCAAGGACAATGACACATGGTTTGTGAGCCCAGATTGGCTAAATATTTTCTGCATATTACAAATAACAGTGGGAAATGGCTTACATTCAGAAACCCCTCCATTGCCCAATCAATGCTTCTCCATGCCATGGCTTTTAACTATGGTGAAATAAAGTTTTACTGACTTTTACCCTAAATTATAAGTAGTGAACATTTTCTATATGTGGAAGGGATCTCAGAGGCCAAGTAGCTCCATTTATTCTTGGACAAGAATCTCATAGATAACATACTTAAGCTACCTAGTCATCCAAGCTTTTTTTGAAGACTTTCTATAATGTAAAACTCACTGACCCTTGAGGCAGTCCAGTAGGCTTTGTGAAAGTTCTAGGTGCTAGGAACTGTTTAGAAAGTATTTCTGTGTGTTGCGCCTAAATTTGTTTCCTTTTGTCTCCACCTCTCCTACTTTTGCCTTCTGGATCCAAGTAGAAAAGTCTAATACTTCTTTTCTAAGGCAGACCTTCAGATAGTTCAAGTCAGCCATCATTCCCACCTTTGAGTTTTTTTCTTCTCCACGTTAAATAGTTCTAGGTCCTTCAACTATTCCTCATAAAGCAGAAGCTTGAGGCCCTTCACACTCTAGTTACCCCTTTCTGGACTTTCTTCTACTTATCAATGTTTTTCCTTACATGTGGTGCCTTGAGATAAATCAGCATTTCCAGATTTAAATGAAGCACTCTCTTCTTAACTGCAAAATCTTTCAAAGAAAAGGCTTACAGCAATTTGGCCTTTACCTTGATCCTGTCAGTGTATATTTCCTTTAAGGTTTGTCTGGGCATAGATGTAGACATACTATAGATCATTCACTCATTCATTCATTCACTCACTCAATCACTCATTTATTCTCTTTTCAGGTCTCACAATTAGAACACCAGACAGAAAGGGCTGACCCTTCACATCCTTCTCCTTATCCCCCACTTTTATTTGGAGAAATTGTTTGGTGAGCACTAGAAGTGGGAGCCAGCCAGTAGGAGTCCAACGTGGATCACACAGTCACATCACCAGCAGTAGCGTTCACTGCCATAAAACTCCAACTTTGGAACCAGTGAAAGGGATCAAGTTCGATAGGAATGAAAAAGTGGGCTACATCATTTTCAAGGCTACAATAAGGTCCATGCAACATGAGGATATAGGAAAGGTCTTTATTCTGAACTAAGTTTCCATCTGGTACTTGCACCGTAGCACTGACCTGCCTTCCAAATGGGACCCATCATGGAAAGATGCTCTGTCCAGTTCCATTCCTTTGTTTTCCTCTTCCTCACAACCCCTGGGAGCTGGCAAAGTCCACTTGGCCAATCCCACTTGATTTCGTTTTTTCCTTTTTACAGGTGTGTGCTTAATGAAATTTGATATCCGCGTTTCATTGCCTACAAACCATATTCATCACAAAGGGCAAAGCAAGAAAACAATGAGATGGGAGGACACGTGTTGATCATTCTTAACCTAAGGTTGGATTCTGTGTCATCTTTAACAAATTGGGTATTTGAAAGACACTTGTTATCAAAACTCTGAACAGAGATGGTGTGGAATAGCTGGGCTTAACATCAGGAGGACATCAGTTCAGGTCCTACATCTGAAACTCTTCAGAGGACACTGAACAAAACAGTTACTTCATCTTTCTGGACCTCAGTTTCATCATTTGTAAAAGGGGCTAATAGCACCTACCTCATAGGGATGTAAAATAAAGTCTGTAAAGTGCTTTGCAAACCTTAATGCACTGTAGAAACATAAGCAATTAATATGTGTAACTGACTCATTTCCAAAGCCCTCTGGAATTTTCCTGCAGAACATGGAGTGCAGGACAAGGCAATCCATCCTGAGCCCCATCCAAGTGGGCTTCTTGCAGACCAGTGTGGGAAGGATTTCATTAGAACAGTGTCTCACCCATAGCATAGGGCCATTGCACAAACCCCATGGACATAGTGAAACTGATTTCCTTCATTTTGAAGCCACTAAAATCAGCCCTACCACCTTACATAGACTTGACTAAAAAACAAACTTTGTACAACCCAGAAACATTTCACAGGATGAGGTTTGTTACTTCCTCTCACTCCAGACTGTAATTATGCTTCTTCAGCCAAACAGTGCTTTAAGCTACATTCGCTAAAAGCCTGGAAGTTTGTACCACAAACACATATTCACTTACTAAGCTTGAGAGATCAACTCAACTGGAAAGAGACAGGTAGTCAATAACCCCAGTCTAAACATGTCATAGGATCTCCAAGGTCCTGGGGACCTCCGAGGCTGTCTGGCCCAGCTCTAACTGCTTTCTCTTTTTCACTTGTATGTAACTATCTTTTTTTGAATGCCATCACCAGCAGTAGAAAGAACATGGGATTTGAAGTCAGAGGCTCTGAGTTTAAATCTAGCCATGCTACTCACTGATTGTGTGATATGTAGTAAGTCATCACAACTCTAAATTGATGAATATGGCCTTTCTGAGCCTCAGTTTCTCTACCTATGAAGTGATGGGGTTGACCTAGGAGACCTCTAAGGTCCCTTCTTGCTCTAAATCCTATGCTGTCTACCTAGGAATGTGAAAATGCTATATAGAAGGGACCTTTGAGTTCTGTGTCCTTGAATGTAAAGGGGTTTTTTTTTGTTTGTTTTGTTTTGTTTTGTTTTTAAAAAACTCTAACCAACCATCTGAGCCCAGTGCCAGGGTTGATGAACAAGAAAAGGTAGGTCAGTCTATGAATGTGTCTCATTCACAACTCATCCCCACTCTAGCAGGTGGTAGATGGAATGTGTGGAACATTGTGATGAAGATAGAATCCTTTCAAACAGCCTTGCTTCATTTTTACTTCCTAGCCTACACATTTCTCAGGTTACTCCATGAGAGCTCCATGGATGATGGTGAAGGATGAAGGGAAAAGAGATGAGCAGAAGGAGAAATGCATACCTCTGGTTTTTCCTTAATTTAAATATTGGCCTATTCCACCATGTGGCTTTGGACTGCTCATGTTTTGTCAATTTGAATCTTTGACTCAAAAATAAAAGCTACCACTGGAGGACGGTGATGGCTTAGGAAACACTTTGGGGCAGGAATGTCTCTCTGTGAGGGCAGTGGGCTGTCCACTGGGCAGGAGGAAGTCTCCCCAGGATTCCACGGGTCTGTCAGTCAATCCACATATATCTCCTGCCTGGGAAAAAGGAAAATGAAGAGGCTGTTTAGTTATGTTCAAGACATGAAGTATGGTAGGAAAGGACACAATGAAATTCTAAGATAATCTGCCGAGTTCTACAAGGGTTGCTATCTGTTGTTTTGAAGAGAAAAACCTCTTTGATACAATCCCAGATCTGACAGGAATAAAATATTGAACGCAGGAATATTCTCCATGAGGACTTGCCAGGCTAATTGGACAAAGGGTACCAACTCCATGACTTGACTCCATTACATCTGTATGGTTCCATTTTCTTGCTAGAGCTGCTGCAGTTATTTGAATAAAATTTCCCTTTTGCCCTATAATTATTATATAGCGTAAACCCAGTACAAGGGCTTGCCCATCATAGCTATGAATGATTGGTGAATAAATGAGTGAGCTGACTGCTTCCTTCCAGACATCCTGCCAGGGCCCAGAGCCCTAGTGTTTGTGATAGTACACTGATTTCTCTAGACTAGGGGACAGTAGCTTCCATAAGAATCAACAGTGTGACATGACACACAAGAGGAGTGTTTTAGTTACGTTAAGAGGGTCTGTGATAATTCCAGTAATCAAGAGGCAATATCGCTACCATCTTCTGCCCTGGTCAAAGACCACATGCAATGTGGTGTCCCATTCTGGCTGACGTGGTGAAAAGAGGAATCTGATGAGCTAGAGAGCATCCAGGATGCCCAGCATGGTGAAGGCTCTTGAGTTCATGTCATCAAGGACTGGTTAGAGGTCATAGGACAAGAGAAGAATTGGGGGGGGGAGGATAAGCAGAGTCTTCAAGTATTTGAGGGACTGTCCTAAGGTAGAAGGCTTAGCCTTGCTCTGCTCGGCATCACAGGGCAGAACTAGAAGCTGGGGTGGGGGGAAGGCATAGGGAGGAAGATTTGTGCTCGAAGTTCAAAGTTCAAAGCAATATGAGCTGTCCCCAAGTAGGACGGGCTGCCTCAGGAGGCTGTATTCTCCTCTTCACCGGAGGGCTTTTGGCCAAGGCTGGATGGTGGCATTTAATGATCTACTTGTTGTGAATAAGCAGGAGCTATTCAGCTTTGGAGGCAAGAACAGCCCTTTGGGCCTTTCATGGGGCCAGCATTCTGAAGGGAACTAGCCCATCTTTCAGAGTTATGAGAATTCTGCAGATTGACATTCAATGGTCATTTACACAGAGAGACTCAACACCTTTCCATCATAAAGTCATTCAGTGGCAGTAATCACATCCCATGGCCTCAGAGCTGAAAAGAAGCTCAGAGGTCCATATCCCTCTGCAGCATCCCCATTGAGGGGCCAAGAACAGTCTTCTCCTGAAGCCCCCCTGGGAAGGAGGGCACACTAGCTCTCCATGCAGCTGAGTTCCCTTGGGGATGCTTTTCATCATTAGGAAGTCTGCCCTGACATGAAGCCTCAGTTTACCTTTTTCACAACTGCCACCTATTGCTTTTGGTTCTGCCTTCTGCTCTCAAGCAAAACAAATCTGACCTCTCTTCCGCATGAAGGTCACTCAAGTACTTGAGGTCAGTTATTACATCCCCCATGAGTCATCTCTTCCCTAGGCTTGGCATCCTCAGTTCCATAAAGAATCCTCTTACGGAATGAATTCAAGGCCCTTCACCATCCTGGGTGCCTCCTCTGGACATGGTCCAGATGATCAATACACTTCCTAAAACAGTACATGAAAGGCAGTGTGGGCCTGGCTCTCTGGGCTGGTAGCGGAGTCGGGAAGACCCACTTCTTCCACATTGTGACTTCCTGACCCTGGAGAAGTCACTCAACCTCTAAGTACGTTTCAGAAAAAACTCATTAAGGGGCAGCTAGGTGGCGCAGTGAATAGAGCACCAACCCTGAAATCAGGGGGACCTGAGTTCAAATCTGGCCTCAGGTCAAACACTTGACACTTACTAGCCATGTGACCCTGGGCAAGTCACTTAACCCCAATTGCTTTAATAAAAAAAAAAAAGAAAAGAAAAAACTCATTAATATAACAATTGGCAGAGCAGTCGCTGATCCGCATTGGTTAAGGGAGTTTTCTCACCTGGAGTTTCCAACACCAATGAGGCTGGTTCCCCTAAAATGGGACTTAATCCTTTCAAATCTCACCCTGTTTGGGGTACCTTGAAAATTGATGCCTCAGCTTCCAAAATGAGCTTTTCCCTAGTATCATTAACACTGTGGCCATTCTCCATATGTTGTGTAATATATGAGATGATACATTATTGTACCTATGCTTGTAATTAGCTACAAACAAAAAAGACCAGTCCACCTGTACAAACATGCTTCATGGACATGCCATATTTTCAGCTGAACTGAAAATAGCCAATGAGAATTCTGCTTTCTGGCTGGCATCCTAAGTTAACTGCCATGCCCAGATCTACTAAGTACTCACCGATGTCTCCTGGCACCCATCTCCATTAATAAAATGGTCAGAAGTAAAATTCTGAAATGGAAACATGGTCTCAGAAGAAATGGATGCAGAAGGTTTTAAGGGGATGGGTTGACAAGTGCAAGGGGGCAGGAATCTTTGCACAGGCACCATCTCAGCTCCAGTCCCGTGACTTTTGCCAGTCTCCATACTGTCTAATGTATCCTGTTTGACCTGGGCCTGGGACTTGCTGGAATCTTGTTGAGCATTTCTTGAGTAGAGCTGTGGTCCCGAACTGTTCCTTGCCTGGTTCAGAAGTTTTCTTTGAGTTGGTTGCTGAATCCCAGATGCATGGTCTGGCCATAAGTTGCCACCTAGAATTTGTTGACCAGCTGAATCACAGCTGTGGATTGTGTTCACAAGTAAGTCCTGGTCAGTGTTAGGTTGTAGGAGGGTCCCTGATTCTGAGGGTCCATGGCCACAGAGCTGCTGTGGTTGAACATGAAGCTGGTTTAGAAGCTGATGTTGAAATAGGGGTTGGAGACCTTCATGCTGTGATCTCAAATGATTCTCCAGCTGCTGCTGACTTTGTTTGGGTCGGCAAGGATTTTCTAAGGATAGATGGGGGAAGGATGGGCTCAGAAGGCCTGAACTGTTGGATGGTGGCCACTGTTGCTGGACCTCTGCAGGCAATTGTGTGAAATGAGTAGACAGATCCTGAGATGTTACTGCCAGCTGCCTCCATGGCTCACAGCTGTAGTGGTTATGCCTCTCCTTTGTCACGGGTGGGGGTGGACCAGGCTCCCAAGGAAGGTGACTTGGCTGCTTCTGGCTTACAGCACAATGTTGCATTGTATTTGGTAGGCACACTATTTGGGCTAGCTGATTGGGTTGTGGTTCCTGTGATAAAGGAAGTGGGTACTGATGTGCCACATGAGAACTGTTGACTTCAGGTTCTTGGCTTGTGCTCAACAATGAGTGAATTTTCAAGGAAGCCTGGTGATCCCCAACTTGCTCATCCTGATTTTTATTCATGAGGGAATCATGAACATGGGATACAATCTCCCTGTTTGTTAACATATCATTAAGAGACGGACTAGAGCCTGGATTTTCCCCTTCCTTCACCTTCCACTCATCTAGCAGCAGGAGCTCCAGCTCCTCAGCATTAAGCCCCAAGTTTTCCAGAGCACTCAAGAGCTCATTATTGGAGCAATTCTCATCATAGTCCAGAGAGAGGGAATCCAGAGTGGTTAGAAGGGTAGTTCCTTGATTCAAATCAGCCAATTTCTCAGGCTCATCCTCAGAGGAAATCATCTTTGAAGATCCAGTCAGGATGTCTCCTGCTACCCAAGCCGCAAAGGGGTCTTCAATCTGGTTGAAGATGTCACTGCTGCAGCCCAGTTGTGGAGTCACTGCTGCATGGGACACATAGGTGGTCACATCCTGCTGCATCATGGCACCAAGAAGTGAATTAGGAGCTGGGAGATTGAGCTGGCTCCTTTCTCCTTTGGGAGGCTTTTTGAATTTGGGCATTTTTCCTTGAGTTGAGAAAGGGGCAGGAAAACCAGGATCTGGGTGAATGGCTTGGTATAGAAGTGCTTCCCCTGTAGCAAAGGTGAAAGGATGGTGTAGGGGTCTTTTCTGAAGGTGCTCCCCTCCTTCTTCATCCCTGCGCAGAAGGAAATACCAATACTTTAAAAAATAATAAAATTGCAGTTTCACCAATAGAACTCCTAGTCTGCATCAAGAGAATGGCTTTGTCTCATGGCACTTGGCAGTGTTGATTGGCTAATGGATGGTCAATCTTGGCTCATCTTCACCTCTTAGCTCCCTGGGCATCTGAGAAGGAAATGCCACCTTCAGGGGAAGCTTGGTACTCACACAAGAGGTCTCTGAGTGGCAATGATGTAATCGGGTTTGCCATTTCTGTAGATGAGCCTGGCATTAGACTGGACCCATCGCCAACGATTTTCTTTGGTCAGAAGACGAAATACCGTCAGGCCGCTTTCCCCAGTTCTCATCACTAGGAAACATGTGAATGGATTAGGATTAATAAGGCTATCTGATATGTCTTTAGCAACTTAAAGTTTGCAAAGCATTTTCCAGACATTATCGGATCTGATTCTGATGATGGCCCTGTGAGAGAAGCACCTTAGGCATCACTTTTCTCAGTCTTATTGGCTTATGGCTGGACAACTAAGCGTCACAATCAGACTTTGAGCCCAGGTTACCATAACTTCAAGGGGGCGCTCTACTGCACCACCCTGAAGCCTTTAATAAGATCGTTTACTCCATTTTGTTTAAGGTTCCCCCATCCAGAGCTGGAAGGGACTTTCGGGATCAGAGAGTCAAGCCCATTCCTTTTTCATATGAGGACAATGAGGCCAGAAAGGTTAAGAGGTTTGCCCAACACCACACAGGGAGCAAGTGGCAAAGACATGATTCGAGCCCAGGTCCTCTGATTTCAGAATATGTGTTCTGCTTGCCTCACCAAAGCCTTTATGCATGTGATTTATTGCTCTCTTTGCATTATGCCTGCCCCTTAGGAGGCAGACAGAATAGGGGCTGGATAGATATCTGTTGATTTGAAATGAATTGCTCTTGATAAACACTTTTGAATGATTTTTTTTAAATTGGAAAAAAAGTCACATGATACTAACTCCATTTTATAGTTGGGAAAGTTACCAGTGACTCTTCCCTAGTAGAATGTAAGCTCCCTGAGAGCAGGGACCGTCCATTGTGGTCCTTTTGCCCCCGGTGCCTCACCCAGCTGCCTCAGTGGTAGGAAGGCTTAGTTTGGTCCATCAAATCCCAAACCCAAACTTGCCTCCTGACCATTTGCACTAGCTGCTCCTGATTCTGTCTTTGGGGAACAAACAGAACGTGGTATTCCACCCTGCAGGTGACAGCTCTTGGAAGCCTGCTCTCCTGCTGAGCCCCAAATCTTCTCTTCTCCAGACAGACGTCTGCATTTCCTCTTTCTGCTTCTCATCTGACATCAACTCAGCTCACACTGGCAAGCACTTTCTTAAGTCGGTTGAGCAAGTATTTTATTATTCCCCTTTTATATATGAGGAAGCTAAGGCCCACAGGGGTAGAGCAACTTGTACAACTTTCCCACAGCTGGTTTAGCGCTGAAGATCTGAAGGTGTGGCTTTCAAACCTGAGAGTTACTCCCTCAATGCACCTCCAGGTACAGATGGACCATTGACCCCAGGAGGACATTTGAGAGGATTTACCAATTCCCTCCTTCTCCTGCACTTACTGAGCAGCAGCAGAATATTCAGAACCACCCAGGACATCATGTCTATCCCTATCTGCAGCTATGAAAGGGAATGAGCAATCACATCATCTTGGATCCACAGCTGGAAGAGATTTCAACCCAGCCCCATTCTACAGAGAGGAAGACTGAGGCCCAGAAAGAGGTAAAACTTGCTTAAGTGCATGCCAGTCCAAAAATGCTGCACAGGAGGTACTGTGGAATAGTGAAACAAATGCTTAACTTGGAGTCAGAGGATGAGGGTTCGAATCCAGGCTTGGCTACTTATGGCATGTGTGACCTCCATCGGGGCCTCAGTTTCTTCCTCTATAAAATAGACTATCTCTAGGTCCCCTTGAAGCTCTGTGATGCTCTGTGACTGCTGGTTACATGGATGAGCCAAATAAGTTTAACCTCGTTTCTTTTCCAAGGAAACTTACTACTAAAGCTCCTTCATGCTCTAAAGTTGGTCACTGTATGTCCAAACAATGGCATTCATTTGCAAACAGTAGGAGTCTGTAAGAATTAATAGTCCCTTTTTACCCTCCAGAAGCTCATTCAGTCTAAGAAGAGAGTCCATGCCCTGCCCTCAGCAGCTGTCAGTATGCTGCCATCTGGGCAGACATTTCTTCTAAATGGAGAAAAGGGGCCCAGATGAGATAGATACATGGCTCCCATGACTCACTGGGCTTTGATCCTTCCTTCAACTAGAAATAGCCCAGATTCCTGCTCTCAAGAGACTCCAGTTTGGAGCTTCATTCTGCATTTTAACTCACACCCAGAAATCAGTTCTCTGGAGAGACCCCAGATTGAGCCCTGCCGCTGACGACTCTCTGGCTGTGTGATTCTTTGTAAATCACTTAAACTTTCTGTTTCCCAAATGGAACAAAAATAATGCCTGTAGTCCCTACCTAAGCCAATTAAGTGGTGCAGTGGATAGAGCACCAGGCCTGGAATCAGGAAGGTTCATCTTCCTGAGTTTAAATCTGGCCACAGACACTAACTAGTTGTGTGATCCTGGGAAAGTCACTTCACCCTGTTTGCCCCTGTTGGCCTCAGTTTCCTCACCTGTAAAATGAGCTGGAGAAGGAAATGGCAAACACTCCAGTATCTTTGCCAACAAAACCCCAAATAGGGTCACTGAGAGTCGGACACAACTAAAAACAACTCAACAGCAGCATGAGCCAGGCCCTGAGCTGAACACTGGGGATACAAAGAAAGCCAAGACTTCCCTGCTCAGGAGGCATTCACAGTCTAATGGGAGAGACCACATGCAAATGGAGAGAGCCATGGAAAGTTCAAAGAGAAAAGGTGACCTGAGGGAAAGGTCTGCTGCAGCAGGTGGGACGGAGCTGAACCTTAAAGGAAGCCAGCAGGCTTCTGGGAGATGGAGGGGAGGAGAGTGTTCCACTGTGGGGACAGGGATGACTCCTGCCAAGGCAGAGAGGGAGATGAAGTATCCCGAGTGAGGAACAGTGAGTGAGATCACAGAGTGCACAGAGAGATGCAAAGGGCAAAGTAGGGAGGGGCCAGGTCACAAAAGGCTTTGAACACTAACAAAGGGCCGTGTATGTGATAAGGAGCCATTGGTATTTATCATGGGCAGACCTGGATTCTGGAAAATCACTTTGGTGTTCCTCCCTCAGGGTCCTGCTGTCTCCAGTCCTTCCCCTGACCTATGGTGGTGGCTGGAGGAGTAGAGAGAAGAGTACATGCACGAGAGATGTTGTGAAGGTGGAAATGATGTACTTCGGCAATGGACCACATATGTGGGATGAGGGAGAATGAGCATGACATTGACTTTGTAGGGCTAGGGAGGATGTTGGTGCCCTCTACAGTAACAGGGAGGTTTGGAGGGTGAGAGGGTCCGAGTAGGGGGAGACAATGCATTCTGTTTTGGACGTGGTGAACAAGCCTGTGGGACATTCAGTTTATAATGTCCAAGACGCATTGGTGGTACAAGACTGGAGAGGTGAGAATTGAATATACACACACTTGGGAGTCATGTACATTGAGAGAGAACTGAGGCCTGAGCTAAGAATGGGTCACTGAATGAGAGACTGTAGAAGGAAAGGAGAGAAGCAAGCCCAGAACACCAGGTCCTACTTGCCCCAGAAGTTACACAGTCACTAATCTAAGGAAACCAAAATGTTTGTGCAGCAGAAGCTATTTGCCTGATGGCATGGGCTGTCCTGGAAAAGGATGACTGGACAAACAGAAGCAGGAGCAACAGATGGAATCTGAAGAGGTTTTGTTTCAACATCAAGAAGAACCTTTCCACACTTAGAACCCTCCCAGTGTGGAAGGGGTTGCCTCAGGAAGGGGTGCATTGCCTCTCCCAGAGAAGGCCTCCAAGAAGGGGCTGGATGCCTACACATCAGGAATGTTGTAGTTCAGGCCTAGGTGAGGCTAAGGATGAGATTCATCTCGTCTCTGGATGAGATGCCCCTGGGTCCCCTTCAGCTCTGAGGCTCTGCAATTTTGTGACAATATTCCAGTTCCCCAGTGGACTTGTGATTTATAAACCACAGGCCACCCATGCCTGCCCATCTTGTGTCAATGTCATTGATATTCTCCCAAAGGTCACTGTAAACTAATACTTCTCTAGGAAGGGAGTGACTAGCCACTGGGTTCAAGCTCAGTGTTTACCAGAGTCATTAGCAATGCCAGAGACCAGTGAGGGAACACTCTCCAAGCCATTGCCTACCAGCCAGTTGGCTCATATCATATGCACGGTGGTAATCTGGTGATGGTCAGAGTAAGACCATCTCTGAATCTCTAAGGACTTATTCACCTTTTAGAGTATGGTAAGCCAATATAGTCATGTTACTTTTAGCTACATATTGTTCGAGGGCAGTGGGGCAGGGGCAGGAGAAGAGGCTTCCACTCTTACTCCGAATGTGGTTCTCAGCACAGTAGAGCATATCGGCAGCATGGATAAACTGATAGCCGGTCCCACGCATGCGCAGTTCCGCCTCTGTGTATCCGAGCACAAGCTTCCCTCTAGGAAAGAAAAAAGACAGTGAAGCTCATAGCACAAGCCAGCATCATCCCCTTTCTCTAGTTATGGCTCACAATGAAAGCGCTTTCCTCTTTCAAAGGATAGAACTTATCATTCCCATTTTATAGATGGGATAGAGAGAGGGAACCTGATACATCTCTCCTTCCATCACCTATCCTTGCACCCATTAAGCCTCTCCCTTCCAGCTTGGCCAGACCAGCCAGAGCTCAATCTCTGCCAAGTCAGCCTTCAGACACACAGGATCACCTGCCCACCACAATGAGGCATTGGAGGAGGACCAAGGCAGGGGAGGACAGTGACCATCAGGGCTTGCTCCTACCAGCCCTGCCCTTGTGCTTACTTGGCATCACAGGCAACAGGCGTAAAATCCAGCTTGTGCTTGGTCCGGAAGGTGAGTGTTTTTGTTCTGATCTCCAGAATGGATGGAGGCTGCAGAGGAGTAGAGATGGCAAAGAGCGCCAGCTGAGGGGGCTCTGGAGAACCATCCTCTGTTCTATGATTCTGCCCGTGCAGTGGTTTCAACCTGCCTTGAAGGCTTAAAGCCTTTAAAGAAAGAGATATGGCTTAAATGGGAGTGTATTTACACACATACACACACATAAATAAATATATCCAAATTTATAGATCATATGTCACATACAACATTGTATAATACAATATACTGAACTGTTATTCTATAACTTATATGTGATCTATTACATAATATAATATGGCATCATATCACATCATATGATCAAATATAATATGATATGCTATAATAATTGGGATCTGCTTTGGAAATGATCACATTTGAATGAATCACTGCAAGGTTAAAGTTTCTTCTTATTCCAATGAGTGGGTTGAGGCCTTTGGTTCACACCCATTTTCTCCATTCTGCTAATGCTCGTGTTACATGTGCCAGCAGTGAGCGTGGGTGTCTCTGGGGAGGGCACAGATGTCTGACCGAACCTCAATGCCCTCAGCTCCATCCTCCCTGTGGAATAAGGGGCAGAGCTGCCACCTCCCCTGGATTTTCCCATCCCCTCCCTAGGTGGCAGTTTGGGGCAGATGCATTAAGCTTGGACAGTGGGCAGCAAACAGACTATATACTCCACGGGTAGCCAGAAGAACCCTGGGTCTCAGTTTCCTCATCTTTCCAACGAGACTGCAAGATGGCTCAGTGTATAGAATGTGTGACTTCAAGGCAGGAAGACTTGAATTTATATCCTACCTCAGACACTTACTAGCTATGTGACTCCAGGCAAGTCACCTAAACTTTCTTGGCTTCAGTTTCCTCATCTGTATAATGGGGATAATAATAACCTCTACCTCCCAGAATTGTTGCTAAGATCAAATTAAGGACCTTGTAAAGTGCTTTGCCAGCCTTAAAGCACTAGATAAATGTCATTATGGCCTCTAAGGTCCCTTCTGGTCCTATGACCTTTCTGTCCCTTCCCTATGTGGGCCTCCATTTCCCCCTCTGTAAAATTAGGAGATACAATGAAATGTCTTAGGTCTCTTCCAGTCCTAAATCCTTTGGTCCTGTCATGTGGTTATGAGAGAGAAGATCATTCCATACAATTCAGGGACCAAAGGGAAATGTCGTCCTGAGGGAAGTGGGGGTGCGGCTACTGAGCCAAGCTAGCAAGAGTGGGACATGAACACTGGTGCTCTACCCTCCAGGATTCTCTTCTGTTCCATTTGCATCAAGCTTTAGAATTAAACACATTCTTGACTGAGCAGTCTAGATCACTGATCCCATCAGGACTGTGACTTACCCGGAACCCCGATGAATTATCGAGGAGGCATCGGAACCTGCAGACAAAACTCCGTTCTAGGAGGGCTGAGTTCTCTGGGGGAAGCTCCTCTGGCTTGTCGCTGCTACCAGGGCTGGACAGTGTTTCTCCTGGATGACAATACAGGGATAGGAATGACCGCAGAGTATACGTGGCAATCCAATTCAACCTTCTCATTTGTATAATGAGGACAACGTAGCCCAAGACTCCTGCCCCAAACCTACAGTGATAACAACTTAATATCAAAAAACAACTTGGACAGATTTTAGACTCTGATCAATGCAGTGACCAACCAAGACCCCAGAGAGATGAAGATGAAACCCTCTAAACTTGGCAGAAAGATGAGGAACTTAAAGTACAGGGAGGAACCTACATTTTGTTTTGTTTTGTTTTTGGTGAGGTAGTTAGACTGAAATGACTTGTCCAGAGTCACACAGCTAGTAAGTATCTGAGGCTGGATTTGAACTCAGGTCCTCCTGATTCTAAGGCCAGTGCCCTAGCCACTGTGCAACCTAACTGCCCCAGGATCTACATTTTGGGCAATGTCAGAATTTGGTTTTTTTTGGAGTATATATGTTTATGGTGAAGATTCCACCCTTTTTATTGTTCAATCAGGGGGTAAGAAGGAGAGACAGAGTAGAAATTTATATAAAACTAAATCATGTATTTTTTTAAAGAAAAAGTTGAGGCTTTGGTGGACTGCAGACTCAATATATCAGTCAGCAGTGTGATATAAAAACCAAATTAAGAAATAGAATAAAAGTCCAAACTCCATATGATCTTGGGCTGCATTAGGGCAGGAGAGATGTAGCTTCTAGGAATAAGGAGATGATAGCCCTACTGTGCTCTGCTGTGCTCTAGAGAATTGTGTTTGGTTCTGGGCACTATGGTTTAGGAAGGACATTTATAAATTGGAGAGAATCCAATCTATCCACCCTCCACCCAAAGGTAGGTGATTAAGTCTTTGACACATAAGCACTGGTTGAAGGAAGTGGGGATGTTTAGCCTAGTGAAGGGAAGAATCAGAGAGGACATGCCAGCTGGCATGAAGAAGAGGGCCTAGGCTTCTTCTGGGACTCAGAGAGCAGAACCAGGAGGGAGGGAGAGGGAAAAGGGAAGGTATGTTCCTAATGATCTCACCTGTCTAGAAGTGGCCTGGACTGTCTGGGGAGGAAGCAGCTCCCCTCCCTCCTTGTAGGTCTTTTAGAAAAGCTCAGGTGACCTCTTATTGGTATGGTTTGAACATGCAATCTCCTTGAGGGCAGGTATTGTCTTTTTGTTTGCATTTATATCCTAAGAATTTAGCACCAAACCTAGCACACAATATGCAATTAATAAATGATTATTAATTTAGGATTTGGGAAAAAATGCTTGTTCAGGTAGGACTTGCACTAGAAGGCCACTTTTAACTCTAGACCTAGGATCTGATCATCTGCTTCAGTGGAAAGCAGATGCACCCAAGGTTGGATCCTGGAGGGACTTAAGCAGCCCCCACCACATACACAATACACCACCATAGACACATACAAATAGTGCACTGTTTATTTACACATGAAAGACCAAATGCACTGGGCCACTCTCAAGCAAGTAATTGGAACCAGCCTGGGAATGTGAGCCCAGGCTATGCTTATACAACACCAGAATGACAAGCCAGACTAGTTAGAAACCAAAAATCTGGGGCACTGGCTCTCTGGCACTGGAGATACCCAATAGCACTTGGTCTTTTTTTTTTTCCTTTTTCAACTTTGAGCCAGTCCTTTTAGCATGGGACAGATAGATCTGAGAGGAAACAGGCAGCAGGGCAGGACTTGCCCAGGAAGCTCCAGGCCGTGGCTCAGGGGTTTCTACCATACTCGATATCCCCACCATTCCTTTACTAGCCCATAGTATTTCCAGTGTGATTTTTTTTTCCTTGGGGACTGAAGGATGTCATTGAAATACAAAAGCTCAGAGGACTAGGAGCTGCTTTGAATCTGACACCCTATTATCCTTTGGACAAAGACTAGGGGTGAAAATGGTGATATTTGGATTTTGTGCCCCCCATACACACACACACACACACACACACACACACACACACACACACACACACCTTGACACTTCCTCAATAAGCCCCAGCCTTCTTCCCCAGACTCGGCTCCATGACTCAGCACTGGTAAGAGAGTAGTTGGATGAAATGGTCTCTGGGTCTTTTCCAGCACTAACATCCTCTGAGTCACAGTCATCCATGTGTCCAAGGCTGGTGAGCAGAAAATGCTGAGTGCAATTTTAACAGATAGACATAGCACAGGGTACACGTTCTATGCTTCCAGTTTCTCCCTTCCCAAATCTGTCCTGCTCACAGGTGCCAAAGTAATTCTTCTAATGCCTGACTCTGATCATGTCATTCTCCTGCTCAAGAGCCTTCAGTGGCTTCCTATTGCTTCTTAGGAGAAAATACAAATGTCCCAGCTTGGCCTAATAAAGTTTCTACAAACTTGCTCTAACCTACTTTTGCAGACTTATTAAACGTAACGTGTGTGTCCACACACTCTACATTCAAGACAAACTGCCCCATTTTATGGTCTCTAACCTTGTTATTTGGTCCCCTCCCTCCATGCCTTTTTACACACCATTCCCCTGTGCCATGTATATTTTCTCTCCTTACCTCCACCATCACCATCAAGGCTTAGTTCTTGTGCTTCCTCCCCCAGAAAGCCTTCCTTGATGCCACCAGTCACTTGTTCTCTCCCTTCCCCAAATTATCACGTGGAATACTTATCTTTTGATGTGGTGTGTTTCAAATGCAGGAGACTGTAAAGTTCTCAAGGGCAGAGACTGACTTCATTTTATCTCTGGGTCCTCAAGGTCTAGCACAATGATGTGAACACAGTAGGCACTTAGCAAATGCTTGTTGGATTGGTCAGTATCTTTTATTTCACTGGCAGATCATCATTTCAGCTAAGTGGGCATAAAACCTATAGGACAGTACTGCTACTGAATGTGCCCTAAGAATTGCAGTTACATCCTTCTGGAATAAAGCTTAGGTCCTGGAGTCAGGTGGCTTAAACAGAGAAGTAATGCTTGGGCAGGTTACTTCCACTTTCTAAGCCCCAGTTTTCCCATCTGTAGAAGGATTGGCTCCTCTACAGAGTATTTGAAGGAACATGGGGATAAGACATAACAGGATGGAAAGGTTCACTATATGATAAGACCATAGATACGGAGCTGTCAGGGATGTCAGAAGTCATCTAGTCCAACTGCTTCATTTTGTTACTGATAAAGAAACTGAGGCCATGGAAGTGAAATGACTGGCTCACCATCTCACAGGTAGTAAGCAGCAGAACTTAGAGATGAACCAGAGCCCAAATCCAGAGCTCTCCCCAATGCCCCAATGCCTCCTAATCTGGGATCGGCCCTACATGGAGGGCCTGCCACCATTGAGGAGGTCAGGGATCCAGTGGGAAATTAAAGTAAGCAGAGGTAATCAGTTTTAATACTTTACTCATGGGGCTGTTTGGGGGAGGAAGTAAGAGAATGTAGACAAAGTGCTTGGCAAACTTTATAAATCCTTAGAAAAATCAGATCATCTACACCTACACTGACCAAGTTTCTCTTTTCATTGGCCCTTTAAGAAACAGACGTTCAACGAGTGGCAGAAATAGCCAATGTCTATGTCAGTCGATAAACATTTATTAAGCACCTACTGTGTGCCAGGCCCTGTCATAAACATTGGGAAAACAAAGAAAGTCAAAAGACAAGTCTCTTCCCTCAAAGAGCTCCCAGTCTAATAGGGGAGACATAGGGTAAATTGAAGGTGGTATCAGAGGCAAGGCATGTGTAAAATGAGGGGGCAGCACTAAATGACCCCAAAGTCCCCTCCAGCTTTGGATGTCATTGTCTGTGAGGGAATGGCATTCCAGGGCCTCATGTATCCCAACCCAATGGACAGATGACCTCCAAAGAAGGTGTTCACCCAGTTAGTGCAGCTGCCCTTGCACCTACCAGAGCATGCCTGATCACTTCCAGGTTGGGGAGTTGATGGTAGCCTCCAGTGAAGATTGCGCCTGAATTCTGGTTGGTCTTCTGTGTGGATCAACTCAAAGACACTTTGATGTAAAACATCTGTCTGGCGAGGAAAACAAATGCACACTGGTGTCAAAATGTGTCCGCCAAGTCTTGAGCAAAGTCATTGGGGTGGGCAGGCTGACATTCATTTGTTGAATTTGTACATGAAATATTCCCCACCCAAAGCCTCCAAACCACCCCTAATAACCTTCACACCAGCTTCGGAAGTTGAGTGATTTGGAGGTATATAACTTTCCAGGCATTCCAAGGAGAAGATCCCAAGCATCAAGAAACATGGGCCCTGTTCACTATCTTTGCCATCCTGTCCTGGTCTATTCCTTCATCTGTAATGTGGAGGGAGTGGGCTTGGCAAGTGTCCAGTGGATCACCTGGAGACCCCAGCCCTCACCTAGTCCAGCTGTCTGGCCAACAGGCTTTGTTTCTGATAGACAGGGTGGGGGGAGGGTCTAGCATTCCTTCTAGCTGTCCCACCTTCTTCAATGGAGAGTCACAAGCCCCCAAATCCTCCAGGAAGCTCTTGGCTTATGAAATGTAAATAGGGTTTGAGATGCCCAAGGGCCATCTTGCAGACATTTAACCAGAATTCACAGACCATTCCTATGCCTTTGATCTCTCAGTTTCTATTCTTTTATTAAAAAGGAAGAAGACCCCTCATCAGGAGGGATCATCTGTGGACAGCTGGACGTTTGAGCAGCTATGTGATGAAAGCAGTGCATGGCATGTTCTAATTCAGAGGGATTATTTGGAGGCAGCTCAATGTGGAGGATGGCTTTGTAAACACGTCAAAAGAGAACAGATAATTCAACCCAGTTGCTTTCAAAAATGAAGAGGAGTTAAGGGAGGTCAACTTCAAATGGGAGAGATTAACTAGCCCCCATCTTAGAACACAAAGCACACTTTGAAGAGTTCCAGACTATGTATATTGAAAAAAAAAAACCCTGGAACTCCAGACTTTAAGCACGCACACACACACACACACACACACACACACGCACACTCAGAAGTTAGCTTAGTAGGATTATATACTCACTCATGAAAGGATCAATATGAGGAACAGTTTTCTTTCTTATAGTATAAAAAATGAGGTCTCTTCTATGGAGTTGTTTGAATATAAATCTAGTCATTTTCTGGATAGCAGGATTCAAATTCAAAAACTCTGGAGTCAGGAAGCTTGATTTGGAGTCTCACCTCACCCACTTACTAGCTATGTGATCATGTGCATGACACTTAACCTTCTGTGCCTCAGTTTCCTTGTTTATGAAATGGGAATGCAATCCCTATAATAACCTACAGGATTGTAGTCAGGGACAAATGAGAGAATCGTCAAATAAAGTCAGCCCTTATTTAATGCCTTCCATGAAAGTGCTGATGGGAGATTTGGACAAGCTAAAGAGATGGTTGATAAACAGTAGTTAACATCAACTTCTGCTTGGTTAAGGGATCTGTGTTCTGCAGTACTCATCCATTCAGCAGACTCATTTAACGCTTCTGAGCTCGAAGAATGGATCAAGGTGCTGGTCATACAAAGATGAAAAATCACTTGCCCTAAGAGAGCTTGGGAGGGAGACAGAGGATCGAGGGGAGATGGGACCCATATGTAGATAAGATTCTACCCTCTGCGATCCATCCTTCCCGCAGCTCCCAAAATAGTCTCCCTAAAACCTCGGTCGAAGCATGGGAAGCTTCTTCATTAAATCTCTATTGCTACTAGGGTCAACTACAGGCTCAGCTTGGAATTCAGAGCCCCCCACAGCTGAATTCCAGATGGCATCTCTAGACTCCCTTCATGTTCACGATTCCTCTTTACTCAAAGTTCTAGTACAACTGACCACTTTCTATCACCAGAACTCTGCCTCCTCACCCCCTGCCCCGCCTATTCCTTAGTGTCTCCTACAAATCGTCCTTCATCCTGGGAATGCCCCCTCTGCCTCTCTGCCTCTTGGAAGCTTGCTTCCTTCAAGACTCAGCTTGGATGCTACCTCCTTGTAGAAGTCTTTTCTGAACACACACACACACATTTTGTAAACGTGGCATGCCCCCAGATCACATGGTTTTAACCTTTACAGGGGGAGCAATTGCCCTCCCCATTGCAGGCTGCTGGTGGAGTTTATGGATTACCTTCTGGGAATACTGTTTTTAAAAGCAAAAAAAAAAAAAGACATTAAAAGGGAAATCAGATGTACTGAAATAATTATCACAATATTTTTCCATTCAAGTTCAAGGAGCCCCTTAAATCTCTCCATGCACCACCAGACCCCTGATTCAGAACTTCTGCTCTGGAAGTAGATCAGCTCCTAGAAAGTCAGTCCTAATTCATGGTCTTGGAATCCATAGCATTTAGCACAGTTTGTTAAAGTAGCACTCAATATAGCCTTCCTGAAGGGGTCATTGAGGAGCTCAATATAGCCTTCCTGAAGGGGTCATTGAGAAAGCACTGGGAGCTTTGCCAAAGTGCTTTACATTCATTTGATTAACCCTGGGAGACAAGTGCCACAAGAATTATCACTCCCATTTTATAGATTTGGAAATGATTGCACATGGAGGTCAAGTAGCCTGCTCAGGATCACACAGTAACTTTTTGAGATGTTCCTGTGTGACTCTTTTGGCAATGGATTTGAACCCAGATCTTCCTACTGCCCAGCACAGCATACATATTGCAACATATTGTCTCTAATAGAGGGGTCCAAGTTCTGTTAAAATCAATCTGTCAGGATGCTGGGAATAGGGAAGGGAAGGTGGGAATGCTTGTTTAAAGAACAGTTTTGTTTGACTTTATTTGGAAACTTTCCATTTCTGTATATGTGGATTGTCTCTACCCAACAACTTTGCCACAGAAGCAATGTAGGTCACTGTTTTCCTAGGGAAGAGTTCAGGTGCTCAGGTCTAGACAGAAGAAAGAACAATACTGAGGCCATGCCTGTGTGTGGCCAAATACCCAAAAGAAAGCTGAAAGCCAGTCGGTCATCTGGACATTTCCTAATAGCCTGAATTTGGTCACACACAGTCGTTTAACTGACATGCTCAATTTTCCTCCAGGGATTTGGTATTATGAAGGCTATGCTAAGGGCTAGGCATACAGATAGTCAAGGGAGACAGTCTCTGCCTCTAAGCAATTCAAATATTAATATGGAATAGAGCCCATATAGGAGAGTTCAGACACAAAGGCCATTGGGCCTTAGTATGTAGTGACAAAGCAGATAACATTGGCCAGGCATCTGGAGAGCACAGTGGAAGGCAGGGGAGATGATCAAGTCCACAGTCCCTCCATTTTACCAGAAGTATTGGAGTTGGTGATTTCTGCTCATTCAATGTGTGTGACTAGGCATGGGCCCACCCCTTTTAAGAAGGGGTGATCATGGTAGGATCTAGAAGGTCAAGGGGTTGGGACCACTGAATTCCATCCCAGTGTGAGCTGCTTCCTTCTCCACAGTACTTAGCCATACAAGGTTGAGCCATGACTGGGGCAAGTGATGATGTCTCTCTCCCAGCCCTTGAGCAAACCTAAGGTGTATATTTCCAGATTTGGGTGAGGATGAGGGGGTAGCCTGGAATCTAAGTGTTCTCTTTCTGCTGGGGTTTCTAATTCATTTTGCTGATTACCTGTACTTTGTACATATATTCAGGGACACCCGGGCCTACAGGTTTTCCTTGCTTCCTCTTACCATTGATCTGCTCTCCTGGAAACCGTTGGACCTCTTACTGATATTCCTTTTCCTCTGTTGTGCCTTCTGTTCTCCATGGCATCTCACTAGGCAGATCTAGGTGGGCAGTTTTCTCCCTCTAGCCTCTATTTTCAGTTTAAAGCCCCCTTGACCTAACTCATAGCAATTCAGGTTAATATTTTTTTTGCTGAAAATGGAAATGATAAATGTCAGAGAAGATGTGGGAAAACCGAAACACTAGTGCCTTGTTGGTGGAGTTGTGAACTCTGGAAAGCAATTTGGAACTATGCCCAAAGGGCTAAAAAACTGTACCTACTCTTTGACCCACCAATACCACTAGTAGGTCTGTATCCCAAAGAGATCATAGAAAAGGGAAAAGGACCCACTTGTACAACAATATTTATAACAGCTCTTTTTGAGGTAGCAAAGAATTGGAAATTGAGAAGATGCCCATCATTTGGGGAATGGCTGAACAAATTGTGGTATATGAACATAATGGAATACTATTATTCCGTAAGAAATGATGAGCAGATGGATTTCAGAAAAACCTAAAAAACTTACATGAACCAATGCTGAGTGAAATTAACGGAACCAGGAAAACATTGTATACAGTAACATCAACATTATGCAATGATCAGCTATGAATAACTTAGCTCTTCTCAGCAGTACAATGGTCTAAGACAATTCCAAAAGACTCATGGTGGAAAATGCTATCTACACCCACAGAAAGAATTATGGAGTCTGAATTCAGATTGAAGCAGACTATTTTCTCCCTCTTTTTCTGTTTGTTTTTTTTTTTCCTTTCTTGTGGCTTTTCCCTTTTGTTCTGATTCTTCTTTCACAACACGACTAATGTGGAAGTATGTTTAATATGATTGTATATGTAAAGCCTATATCAGACGGCTAGCTGTCTTGGGAGGGGAGGGAAGGGAGAAAAAATTGGAATTCTAAATCTTATAAAAGTGAATGTTTAAAACTATCAAGTATTGGAAAAAATAAAATAATATTAAGTAGAAAATTATTTTTTGCTGCCTCTTGTTAGGTGAACTGTGTCCCCAGACAGAAGTCCATCATTCCAATAGTTTGAACTGTGGCCCAGAAATCTAAATCCCACTCTGCGAATCCATTGTCTTAACCAGCTGTTTGCATCCCAAATCTACCTCTTTTAAAGCCTCTGCCTTTGACCAGTAGTGCAGATGAAAATGTCACTCATGAATCCCAAGCTTTTTAGTTTCTTCTCCAGAATTTAATAAGCCCAAGACATACTTTAAGGCTCCTTCTAGACAGATCATTTCCACATGAATCATCAAGTAACTGTCATCAGGTTTGACCAGCTCAAGTGGGCTCTCTGTCACCCCCTTGACAAATCCCAGGAAGACAGATCTCCTCTCTCTTCTTCCTATCAGGCCAACCAAAGGCTTCCTGGGTGTCCTTGAGCAGCATGCCCTCAGTGACTTTCAGACCCTCCCTGAATGATCTCACCCAATGGTAACTAACTAAGAAGATGGTGTCAAGGAACTCTCCCTTCTGGGAATCCTGGGAAGCTACCTTCTGTAGCAGGAAACCAAGAGTGTATACCCCATTTTTTACTTCCCTTGGAGAATGGTCTCTGAAGGGTCCACAGTTTTGTCTGCCTTGAGTATATGGGGGGTGTGGATGGTGATGAAGCAGCTGCTAGGGAAAATGCCAATGATCCAAAGATGTGTCCTGACTGGTGTGCCATTTCACATGCCATTTCAGCCCAGTTTGATGATGCCAGTGTAAAGGAGTGGTCTTCAAAAGCCCAATACCCAATCACAGAAAGGGGACTGATAGGTGAGATTCCAAACTAACTATAAAAACATGATCATGGAAGTGATCCATTTGCAAGGCATGACCAAGCTCTGACCTAGAAAGGGAACAGTACCATAAGTTGAACACCAAAGGGCCATGTCATCAGGGTGACCTTCAAAGTCAATTTTGTCAGTCCAGGCCAAGGTCAGACTCCAAAAGGAATCCAGATCCTAATCAGACACATGCAAGCCATGAGCTACACACAGCTGGAGAAGGGGAGGCTGCAGGCAACCACATGGAAAAGGGGATGGAAGCATGGGCAAAGCCATTTGCCAAAAAGAAAGAGGCCAGGACTCTAGTAGTAAGGCTGGGACTAGTAAAGGCCTGAGGTTAACACAATTCATAAAGACAAAGTAAACATTTAAAATAAAGAAAGATAAATGGACTTTGTCTTTATAGATTGTGTTAACCTCAGGCCTTTAGTAGTCTGGATATATTTTTGGAAATGCAGTAGGGAAGAAGAAATTGAGAGGCCAGGCATCTCCAGAGAAAAGGAAGAGTTGGTTCAAACACCAACGTTTTTTGCAAGTCACACTGTCTCTGGAAGGAAGGCTCAGAGCTTAAAAAAGAATAGAATTCCAGATCCTTTAATGAAACTTCCCAGAAGAGAGAAGGAAAAGTCCTGAGGCGATCAGTCAGTGATAGAATTAAGGGGGCCAATCGGCGTGATTGCCCAGTGCAGCTCAGCACTCTGCTCTCCTGCTACTCTGATTCTATTTTGCAGAGGACCAGTTTCTACTTCCTCCTGTTGCACACTGTTGCACTTAGGTTGGTGTTGACAAGGCCATTCCTTAAATATGCTATTGTTTGTCATCCTCGCTAAAGAATATTGTTTTGATGAATACTTAATAGGTACATGGTGCAATGGGTCCACTCATGACCTGTACAACACCGAATGCCTTGAATCCCAGCAGGGCCTGTGGGGCCTACGCCTCTTAGCTTCTCTCAGGACGAAATACAAATTGGGAAGAAATTGGGAATACAAAATAGGAATACATATTTCATATGTCACAGGGTAAAGCAGCAAGGTGGCCCAGTGGATAGAGCACTTGGCTGGGAATCAGGCGGACTCCTCTTCCTGAGTTCAAATCTGGCCTCAGACACTTACTAGCTGTGACCCTGGGCAAGCCACTTAACACTATTTGTCTCAGTTTCCTCATCTGTAAAATGAGCTAGAGAAGGAAATAGCAAAACCATTCCAGTGCCTTTGCCAAGAAAACACCAAATGCGGGCAACTAGGTGGCACAGTGGATACAGCACTGGCCCTGGATTCAGGAGGACCTGAGTTCAAATCCAGCCTCAGACACATAACACTTACTAGCTGTGTGACCCTGGGCAAGTCACTTAACCCCATTGCCTAGCCAAAAAAAACACCAAACGGTGTCACAAAGGAGTTGGATATGACTGAACAAAAGTGTCACAGGGTATCTGACCACCCAGAATGCCAGGCACCAAGGGAGAAATACAACTGAAGCTTGTACCAAGGTTTCAATAAGAGGCATACTAACCTGATGGAATCCCAGGTAGTCCTGAATAGTATGAGAGGAGTAAAAAATTAACCCGTCAGAGGTAACCACCAGCACAAAACCATTCAGGGCCTGAAGGAGAGAAAGAAGAGATGAAGTCAGGATCAGCTTTTCTCTCTTCCTCTTATCTCTGGAGTCATACAATCAAACAACAAGCATTTATTAAGCACCTACTGTTTGCCAGCATTGTGCTAGTCCCTGGGGATACCAAGACAGGAAAGAAATAGTTCCATCCCTCAAGAAGCTAACAACATTTTCTTGGTTGATAGAGGCAGTGTGGCTTTTCCCATGCTTTCTCTGGCTATAATTCCAAAGAATCATCGAATTTTAGAACTGAAAGGAATCATCTAGTCTGTCCCCTGAATTAAAGATGAAATGCCTGGCAACCAGAGGTAAAATGAAGTAAAATTCTCAAGGCCTCCCATTAACTTAGCATCAGAGTCAGGCTTCCAACCCAGAGCTCCCAAATCCTTCCGAGTTCAGTGCCCTTCCCCATGGCATCACCCAGACATTGCAGGGAGGCTTCCAGCATATTGGGGAGAAAATCTACAGAGAATTGGTATGAGAACAGGGAGACAGATTGCATACATTGAGAAAATGTGGATGAGTCAAAATTTGCCCTGATAGAAAGAGTATTCAAAGGGGTGAGATCATAGTGTCTGTTGAAATATTGAAATATACGTTAGAGGTAAAAGAAAAACTATGAGCAAATTTATTAAGGGGAGTCCTGCTTGCAATTCCATTTGAGCCAATGGATATTTATCAACAACCATAATAGCAATGATGATGATGATGATGATGATTATGATAGCTAGCATTTACATAGTACCTTAAAGTTTGCTAAGTGCTTTGCAAATATTAACTGTTTGTTTGGGTTTTTTAAATCAGTATTAGCTAATGTAAAGTTTTCTACTTTGGCTTAAATAGTCGACAATACAGATGAAGGATGGGTGATCCACAGGCTAGAAAAATCTGGGAATTTTAATGGACTGAAAATTCAGGATGAGTCAGCAGTGTGATATGGTAGTCAAAGGAAGGAAGAAAGGAAACGAGCATTTATTAAATACCTACTGTGTGCCAGACATTGTGCTAAGTGCTTTACAAACATTCCCTCAGATGATACAGTTCTGGACATGTTAGAGTAACTTAGGAAGAAGTCCCTTCACTTCTATGAACGAATGAATGAATGAGGCATTTCTTAAGACCTTAATATACACAAAACACTGCACTTTTTAGAGTCTCATCTATTGAATGTGAGAATTATACCAGATGATTCCCTAAGGTGTTTCACAGATCTTAGAAGAACAAAAACCCATCTGATTTCACACTTCATTCAGTCAATCACCAGTCCATCTGTCCAGCTGGACCAACATAAGGCTAGCATACGAAACCCAGAAGAAGAAGGGCTTCTTGACTTGTGTCTAAAGGCTGGCCTATTTTTCTCCTATCATTGGCTACGCTGTCTTTGAAGACAACAAAGAGAGAGAAAGGGAAGTGAGCCTTTTTAATGTACAGCTGGGTGGCCAAGGGCAGCTGGGGTTCTTGGGTAGTTTCCTCCTCTGGAACAATGGGGATAACAATAGCCATCATTGCTACCTTTAGGGTCCTTGTAAGGCTCAGAGGAGGTGATTCGGCAGCCTCTGATGCGTGGTCATCATTGTGAATTCAAGGGCTATGGTTTTAGGACTAACTTTCTGCAATGTGGTGACATGGTTCAGATCGTTCTATCTCTTCCTTCTCTAAACCACTGCTTTCCCTTAAGTTTCTAAGTGTCTCTTTTACTTTTTGGAATACTGATCTCAGGCACCATGAGCTTTTTCTTTCCTTTCTGAGAGGAGGGACATTTGTACTTGGAAGCATTTTCTCAGGCTCCAAGCCAAAACATGAAATAATGATTGATGGTCTCCTGCCACTCTGGGATCTTGGGGCACTTGCTGTCCTGGGATGTGTCCAGATTGCTCTAGGAATATATACATGGCATGCAGCTACTCTGTTTACTTAACCACACAGCAGGCACACAGGCTCTGTGTGTGATATGTGGCAAGGATGCAAAACGTGATTTCCTGCTGAGGTGATTTTCCAGGGATATATATTCTAGGGTACAAGGAATCATCCAGGTTCTCCCTTCGCCCACTTAGGATTTTCACACAAAGCCAGTTAGTAAACAACCTATGTTTGACCTACCCTGTACCCTGGCTTTATTAAGGCACTTTTTAATGGGCTCCTCCTGCCTCTTCCTGATCTGCAAGGATAACATTATCTCCCCTACAGAACAGGTTCTTACCTTAGAATCCTTGTACTTAAAAAAAAAAAAGGATAAGTGTATTTCATTATAATAGAAATTAGCCTTTTAATTCTTCTGCATTTTACCTAAGGCATTTAAGAGCATTCTTGTGAGAAGGGGTCCACAGGCTTCAGCAGACTGTCCCCTGCCAAGTGGGGCAGAGAAAAGGTGAAGACCCTGCAAGGCCCCATACTGGTCCTGCACATGTATTTCTCTCAAAAAGCCATAGCTTTTTAGGTTACTTCTAGATGACATTTATTTATCACCCTATTTGGTAGTTACTGATCACTCATTTCAGTCATGGATAGGAAAATAGTAAAGACAAAAGAAACCTACAATCACATTATAGTCAATCATGTCAGCTTCTTCCCTTTGGACTCTCCGTGTCTTGGACATTCTGGCCTCCATGTGTGGAATGCACTCCCTCTGCCTCAAAGAACTCCCAGTATCTGTCAAGCCTCATCTCAGGTGCCACCTCCCACATGGATCCTCCCTGATCCACCCAGTTGTTAGCGCTGTCCTCCTCTCCAAAGTGTTTTGTAATTATTTGCCTATTTATTATCCTTCCCCCTCACCTAGAATATAAGCTCCTGAAGGCCAAGGAGGTTTTCACTTCATGATCATGTGGCATAGCATCTTATCCACAGTAAGTGCTTATTAAATGCCTTTTCTGCTCATGTAGTTATCCAAATTCTTAACAAAGAACAGTTTCAGTGATTTTCACCTCTCCTTTTTTGTCTCATTCACCCTTTAGGGGAAAGAAAAAAAAAGGCTGAAAGAGTTGAAATGCAGATAGAGATAGATGTCAGAAAGCTAACAAGCAGGGAGAAGAAACAAGAGAAACAAAGATAGAAGGGAGCTGGGAATGGATTTCTATTAGAGAAGAACTGAAAGAAGATTCTATTTGCATTTGGGAGCTGGCAAGGAAATGCTTATTAGACACTGAAGGCAAATAACCAAGCCAGACTCATGCGGGGGTTGCGGGGGGAACTGTCTTCCTTGCAAGTTAGCCATCTGCTTAGCCTTACAAATGACTGTATTTATTTGTCTTATATTTATACTTATATGCTTATTTATGTCCTTGTTGTCTCCCTTATTAGAAGGTAATTTCTTTGTGAGACCTAAGTACTGTGTCATTTTTTATGTTCTTATATCTCTACCACCAGGCAGCTAAGTGGCACAATGGATAGAGTGCTGGGTCTGGAGTCAGGAAGACTTCAGTTCAAATCTGCATCAGACACTTACTAACTGTATGACCCAGGGCAAGTCATTTAATGCTGTTTGCCTCAGTTTCCTCATGTGTAAAATGAGCTGGAGAATAAAATGGCAGACCACTCCAGTGTCTTTGCCAAGAAAACCCCAAATAGGGTCACAAAGAGCTGGCCATGACTAAAATGAGTGAGCAACAAATCCCTAGCATCTCCTGTATAGTATTTGGTGTTTCATAAATGTGTATTGGTTGCTTTCTTGTTGACCTTCTGGGATCTTCCCTTTGGCAAGACACAAAAGGCAAAGGGGATTTTTTCAATGACCTACAGAGCATGGCCATGTTTGTGTTTCTGCTAGTGTGAAGTAATAGGCACATAAGAAAAAACATAGAGGAAGGAGTGAATTCCTCTATAGTCTCCAGGTTATTGGAGAAAACAACACATTTCTTGAAAGAAAGGAAAAAGTGATTTAATGGGAAAACAAAAGGGATAAAGATTTTGAGGAGCCTGAGGGAAATTCTGTCTTAAGTTAAAATGTCTGAGTGTGAGAAAATGTGGACTAAACATGCCTTGAAAGTCTGTAATAGCTATATAGCTCTGGCATGCCCATCAACCCACTAATAGAGGCAGAGTAGCCCATAAGTGTGGCATCCCTAACCATGGGTAGCACTGGCACCATTCTCTCTCTCTCTCTCTCTGGTTCTCTCTGTCTCTCTGTTTTTCTCTGTCTCTCTGTCTTTCTGTTTCTCTCTCTTCTCTCTCTCTCTGTCTCTCTGTTTCTCTCTGTTTCTCTCTCTCTCTCTCTCTCTCTTTCTCTCTCTCTGTCTCTCTCTGTCTCTCTCTCTCTCTCTCTCTCTGTCTCTGTCTCTCTCTTTCTCTCTCTGTCTCTCTTCCATATTGTACTGGCACACACAGGTCTGGGAATAGGGAATGGAGGTTAGTCTTGGGTGCCACCATAGCATTACAATTTAACTCTTACTGACCTAGCCTTCTGTCTAACCTTAACCCCAGTATGGAATAATACACTGCTCTTACTGCTATAGCTCCTGTACACCTAACAGTGTGCATTCTATTTAAACAAAATTAGTCACCATGACAACATTGACTCTTAATCATGAAACATTTACTAAACAAGAAAACGAAAGCAATAGTAATTGGGTCATATTGTCCCACCAATGAAAGGAATGTCAAAGGGGAGAGTGAAGATACATTGAAATCTTCCATGGATTTTTCTAATCCTGTTATGTGGCAACTCACAATTCTGGACTTCCGACCTTGGTGCCCTTAGTCTCCTGCTGGTCTAGACTGCTTCTCTAAAACACTTGGATTGATAAAGCAGTGTCAGACACTTTTAGCACAAAGCCACTCTTAGCAGGGTACTGAGAAAGTGTTAACCTATTTCAGTGAAAAGCAATTCCATTAAGCCAAAGAACTACAAACTCTTCAGACATTCTCTTGGGACTCAGCAAAGTTTCTCTCTCTCAACCTAAAGATGTCTCATTCTGGGCAGTCCAATACTGTCAAGCTCATGAGAGGTTTCCCATCTCTCAAGATGTAGATGGTAATAAAAGGCAGTATGT